CTCCCATTTTTCACCCCAAGTCTCTCTCTTTTTCACCCCAAATTTACTCCCAAATCTCTCCCTTTTTCACCCCAAATTTACTCCCGAATTCCTCCCATTTTTCACCCTGAATCTCTCCCGTTTTCACCCCGAATTTACTCCCGAATTCCTCCGATTTTTCGCCCCCAATCTCTCCCTTTCTCACCCCAAATTTGCTCCTGAACTGCCCCCGTTTCTCGCCCCAAATCTCCCCCCAGGTACCTGTACGAGCGCATCGACGGGCGCGTGCGGGGGAACCTGCGCCAGGCCGCCATCGACCGCTTCAGCCGCCCCGACTCCGACCGCTTCGTCTTCCTGCTCTGCACCCGCGCCGGCGGCCTCGGCATCAACCTCACGGCCGCCGACACCTGCATCATCTTCGACTCCGACTGGAACCCCCAGAACGACCTCCAGGTGGGACCCTCGGGGGGGTTACGGGACCTCGGGGGGAACCACAGTCCTCCAGAGCCGCTTTGGGGTCTTGGGGAACCTCCACGAAGGTGTTGGTGGAGCTTGGGGAGATTCTTGTCCCATCCTGGGGGTGGTTCATTGACCCCGGTGGTGGTTTGTTGACCCCGGGGGTGGTTTGTTGACCCTGGGGGTGGTTCGTTGACCCCGGGGATGGTTCGTTGACCCCGGGGATGGTTTGTTGACCCTGGGGGTGATTTGTTCACCTCGGAGGTGGTTCGTTGACCCCAGGGGTGGTTTGTTGACCCCGGTGGTGGTTTGTTGACCCCAGGGGTGGTTTGTTGACCCTGGGGGTGATTTGTTGACCCCGGGGGTGGTTTGTTGACCCCAGGGGTGGTTCATTGACCCCGGGAATGATTTGTTGATCCTGGGGATGGTTCGTTGACCTTGGGGGTGGTTCATTGACCTTGGGGGTGATTCGTTGACCTTGGGGGTGGTTCGTTGACCCTGGGGGTGGTTCGTTGACCTTGGGGGTGGTTCGTTGACCCCGGAGGTGGTTCGTTGACCCCGGGAGTGGGTTGTTGACCCCCGGGGGGGGCGTCTCCATTCCCGGTGTGCAGGCGCAGGCGCGGTGCCACCGCATCGGGCAGAGCAAGGCGGTGAAGGTCTATCGGCTCATCACCCGCAACTCCTATGAGCGCGAGATGTTCGACAAGGCCTCCCTCAAGCTGGGCCTGGACAAGGCCGTGCTCCAGTCCATGAGCGGCCGCGAGGGCAGCATCGCCGGGGTGAGCCAAGGGGGGGCTGGGAGACCGCGGGGCACTCCAAGGGTGGAGGGTCACGGGGTTGAGGTTCCTCAAGGGCTTGAAGAGCCAGAGTTGGGTTTGAAGAGCCTCAGTTGGGTTTGAAGA